GGGGAGGGGGGGGGGAGTGATAGAGCGACTTGGTGGATACCTGGCATTTAGCCAGAGTCAAACCATCACAACAGGTTAGTTTTTGGAGTTCATTGATACAAACAACAAAGATGACACGTAAGCGTCTGGTAAAATTAGAAAGGATGAAGTGAAGCTTTTTTTACCAGCTGGAAAAGACATCTTAACAAATCAACACAAATGTCTTGAGCTGCCACATCATTCTTTCAAAAAGCATAGTCTGTTCTCCTTGTTTCCACAAGTTGCTAAGGTAAGGCTAGGCTTAGTGTGTTTCCTCATCTGCTTCATTTATCAAGCACTGCCAACAAACCATAGCTCTCTGAAGCTGGCCTGGGCTTCCTGCTGAAAGGAATGTCCTTGAGCATATAATGAAATTTTGACAGTGTTTAACCAGGCCAAGAGTTATGGAAAGAGTTAGCTTTTCCTTTGATGCAGAATGATCTGCAGATAGTACTGAGACCCTGCAGGTCAGAGCTCAGCTGGTTGCCATTTTGGTGATTTTGAGCTTTGCTCTGTTTATGCACTTTGCTTATTAAGCATTTAAATTCATATTGCAAAGATACCTGTCAGTTTCTCCATCTGGTAGACAAGATGAAACTATTTTGTGCAGTTCACAATGCGGGTAGCAGGAAAAAATTAGGAGTAAAATTGAAATTTCTGACTTCCATTTTTCCATGGAGTATGAGTACATAGCTGTTTATCTGTTTTGTTTTGTGGATGTGCTTTTATTATGTTTTTAGGGGGTTGGTTTTTCAATTTACCATTCTAAGAAAATGTAGTAATCACTCTTTAAAAGAATGTCCAATGAGGATTTTTTTTGATACACCTCATACTTACACAGTAGCTGGTTGTCCTGCTTCCACAGCTGTACTGGTACGGTATGCAGTCTGGATGCTGACTAGCTCAAGTACATACACAGTTGAATCTGCTCATAAGTGAAATTCATCTTATATATGCACCTTTTTTTTTCTTCCCCAGAATTTGGCTTATATTGTGCCTCAGATCTTGTTTAAGTTAGAAGATCTGGGTTTCCAAAGAAACATTATAGTTAAGCAATAATTACTAAGGGAAATTATTTGGCAGTAAACTTCTGAGTCCAAAAATGGAGAGCCAGCTTCTGAGAAGAAATGTTACTTAGTGCATTTTGATTGGTTGGATGTGGTATCTTTTCAGAAATAGAAACAGAATTTACCACAGGCACTTCCTAAACTTCTGTATCACACGTACAGCACCTAAACGCCTAATCTTTCCATGCAGAATTCACAACGGATCCATTGAGAATTACACTTTTCATATCTACGGTTTATTATTGCTGGTAATTCTTTGTAACTGCAGTGTTTTTCAATGGACCAGTACTGAAATATTTTCCCCAAACCTGGTTAGTTATTTTCTGCATAGTATTATTCTCTCATAAACTAGTGCAGAAGCATGCATTCTGTAGAAGTCATTGGCAGAATTGGTGCTTATTTTTTTGAGCTAGGTTTCTTCTTAAAATGAGTCTCTGAAACTTGAGGAATTCTAAGTGAAGTTTTCTAATGAAGCTAATGTCTTCATTTGTACCACACATCCCAAAGACACCAGATTTAATAGTTGTATTGTTTGGAGTATGCACTGAAGAGTGTTTTCAGCCAGTGCTGTGTATGATAACACTGAAATTTTAGTCTTCTGCCATAATGCTTATATACCGAGGAAGGAATTTGTGCTAAAGACAAAAGATATTTATTGGTTATAATTAAATAGCACATAATCTTCTCAAACACATGCATATTGTTAGGAAATTTTTGTTGAATAATAAATTTCACAAAAGTACTTTGGGAAGAATATCTAGCACAGAACCTATGGTTCTTTAACATCCTGTCATATATACATTATAAAAATTGCAAATTACTGCAGCATGAGCCTTTGTGTCTGATTCATGACTTTACAATTACACTTTTTTTTTCCCCTAGAAATACTGCCTTGATGCTGTTACTTCTGCAGTAGTTTTCCTCCTCTGCTTGAAAATCCTGGAAGAGACTTCTCTTGTTTTTAAAATTGTTATTTGCTCCAGTACATGCAGAAGAGCAGAATTAGTTAATTAGAATAGTTGGTGATTTTGCAGATACAAAGAAACCCTAAAACTTTCATCCGTTATGATAATAAAAGGCAGGTTTATGACCATGTGGTCTTTTTAGCTGTCTCAGCAGGACAGGGTATATTAGAAAAAAAGAAAAGCTTTCTCTTGTATATGTGCCATTTTGTTCTTTAAGGAGATATCATAATTCTGAAATAAGTACATTTGTTGTCATGGATTTTACAAATATTGAAGTGGAATTAGAGGATCCTATAAAGTTGTCCTCTCCATTTTGATAAGTGGATGCGGCTGGATTGTGTGGGAAAAGCTCTCCTGCTCACAGTCTCTTCTAAGTTAAAGCTCTGGTTAGTGAGAACCCATTTCTCATAGGAACTGCAGGAGAACTGTCTTCGAGGGCTGGTTGCCATGGAACAGATGTGTGTGCATGCAGCTTATTCATGATGCAGATTTTGTGGCTAAACAAAATACATTTTCATGATTATTGATTCTATCAGAGGTCTCACTGATCTTGGTCCTGGGGGAAAAGAAAATACAATTGTGAAGGTCTGTATGTGTGTGTGAACATAGACAGATGAGTTCTGATTCTACTCTCTTTGTTACAGATGGTGAACCAGAACCTGCTGATGGAAAAATTATGTTCAGGAAACCAGCAAAACGTTCATCAGAGAAGTCTCTGGACTTCAATGTAAGTTCAAGTAAGAAGATGAAAGAGGCAAAGAAAACTAAGAGAGAAGCAACTACTCCTCAGAGTACAGCTAAGCAAGTAAAAAATAGCAGTCTTCTCTCATTTGATGATGAGGAAAATGATGATTAGGAGTGGTATTTTTTTATATTTTACTTATTCTTCTGGGGATCTGAGTAAGATTTGAGGATTTTCCTAGAAACTGAAGCATGATATCTGAGTCTTCTCTTACTTTGTAGTAGTCCAAATAGAGAAGCATAGTGTAAAACTAGGAAGAACTGTCTTTGCAGTTCAGAGAGAACTGTATGAACAGTATGTCATGTCTTTCTTTTAAAAAAGAATTTAACCATGTATGTAAAAGCTATTTGAGGTCACAAATAGGTAGCAAAATATACCTGTACATATCCAGTTTACATACATTTTTCAATCAATAAATTTTAAAATGGCCTCCACTGCTAAAAATGTATTTCCTCTCTATTTACTGGCCTTAGTTGACAGTTGTGTATTTTTTCCTGTTACTGTTGACAATATTGAAAAGAGAGAGACTTCACTGCTGTGGAACAGGGAGCAAAGTTTTCTGTCTCAGCTTGACAGAAGTTGTCACAACTTTTGTACATGGGGTTTGGTGGATTAGTTCTTTGCAGAGTCCTTGCAGTGGCTAAATTCATGTCTTTGGTGAATGCATTCTAAGAAGTATCAAATTCATATGAATTGATTGTGCTAGCAAGATACGACATTAGTTGATGGTATCAACTAATGCAAAAGAAGGATGCTTAAACTCTTGGGAATTGTGCACCTTGGTTATCACACTAATGGGCTCAGTGGTTTGGTGGTGGTTTTTGAGTTTTTTGAAGTATATTTGTTCCAGTTGGCTACCTATGTGTTCATAATTATTTGGGATCTCAAACAGCTTATTTTTTAAAAAATACATTTAAACTTTACATTGTGAAAAGCGTTATTTTGGTTTTCCTCAATAGGAAATTGTAAACAGGAAATTTAAATCAAGAAATGTTATAGCTGTCGTATAAAGTTTTACAGTTTTTCAGTTGCCCATGTACCATACACAGAAAGTGACCATTTGTGTACCATGAATGTAACAGGATGTGCTGAAACTCAAAATAACACTGAGAGCTGAAGGGATTGGGGAAATGTGACTAGTGACTTTGAAATTATTTGGAAGTATGATGTGTTTTGTAACCATATATAAGCAAGACCTGAGACTGCTGCAGAATTACAGGGTACAAGGCAATGAAACCAATTCTTCCGCTGTGTGACAGGACATTTGAAATTATTTGGGCTGTAAAGCTTCACTGAGGAGCAAATTTGATGTTGCTGTGTTGAACAGCTGCTTTTAGTTTGTTAATCTGGTATTAAACAATAAATCATGTTTTCTTTAAATGGTCCAAAGATATTTTGATGAAAATTTCAGTACATAAAATGGGATTTTTTTGTCACCTGATAATGAAGCCTCTTATGACAGCTACCTGTCTCCATACACACCAACTTCCTGCAGCATAAAATCAGGTGCAAGTCTGTGTATCGGCTCACACTAATTGTGTGAGTGCATGTTACCCTGATTTTGAAAATAAATAGACTTGTTGTCCTTTCAGAAAATTAAAACCAGACCTATAAATGGATATTAAAGTCGTCTTGTAGCACTGGCCTAATATTAGAACTGCCAGAGAGGTGCAGTGTGACAACCTGATTATTTCCATGAGGACAAGTTACATTTGTAAATACATAATTTGTCTGTATTCTGCATATATATATATATATATATATATATATATTAAAAAAAAAATCAAATGTAGGAAGAAGAAATACAGAATCAAAGGTTCCCAGGGATTAATCTTTCCATTTATTTTGTATACTTAAAACTTGTTTGAAAACATCAAAAATATATACATACACCCATGATAACTCTTGTGGCATTACAGTATACTAAAGGAATATTTGAGCATATTTCAACAACTTAGTAAATACTCTGATTTGCTGAGACACATCTGAAAGAATGAATTAACCATTGACTGCTTACTTAAATTTTTCTGGTTCTGTTTGTCAGCACAAAAATATACTTGCTTACGTTTTTCTTGCACAGCCTGAAAGCTCTTAACTTTAGCTATGAGGCAGTTTAGGAGACATGGCTATCAAGAGATAAATGCTTGCCAAGGATCAGAGGGAATTTGGATTTGCCTTAAAATTAGAGAGGGCCTCTCTAATATGCAGCTGATTTGGCATGTTCAAAATAAGATTGAGGTCTTGTTTGAATCTGGTTAGTAATTCTGTTTAAACAGAAATTACTGTTTCTAGCGAAAGGCTTGGGAGACTGAAGTCCACTAAAAAGAGGGTTACCTCAAAATATTGGGTGCAGTACTTTTGCTTAATCATGCTCCTTGCCCTACAACTTCATGACAGATGTCTGGAATGCAAATACATTAAATGGGTTTACTTCAAATAATACAATGGAAGGTATGTTGTTCTTTGGGCAACACAGCAGGGGAAAGAAAGGTGGATACGGAAACCCAGTTTCTTTCCTTTATTCTGACTGTGATTTGTAGTGCTCTGACCAGGAGGAGACCTTGGTATTCATTGTATTTCACTCCCAGTTCACCTAACAATAACTAATTGGATATATTTATTAAGAGGGTGTGAGTGATGCACAAAAGCATTTTAGTCAAGTAGTCATGTGAAAATTCAGTGTTCTTAATGTGACACACCAGGAAAATTACACACGCCATCAACTCCCCATGAAGCCTGTGACTAAAGAGAACAATTACTCGTTCATTTAGGAAAGAAATGTGAAACTGTCTTAAGCAATCACCTGCCTTAGGCAATGGGCCATGGAAAAATAATAATTGCAGGAACTTTCTAATAAAGGAGAAGCCAAAGTAAGTAAATGGACCATGGGGCTATGACTGGAATGGACAGTTCTCCTGGCTTGCTTTCTGTATCTCTTCCCTGCCCCTGTCCTCAGTCCTTTTCCCCTCCTGTAGTGGGGAATGTATATGTTTTGGGTTTTTTGTCTTCTGGAGTTTGCTCAGCTGAGAGAAGCGCTGTGGAGGAGCAAGGTGAAAGTAGCTGAGGCTTCTTACCTAATATGGGAATCTTGTACAGTTTTTATTAATAAAATCCTTGAAATTTCCTGGTTCATTGAGACTCCAAAATATTTATTGGTGGTGGTGTTAGTTCTCGCTCTTCTTAGCTGAGCAGTAAGCTGGAACAAACCTGGTGAACTGTAGTAGCATTGCAGCAATGGATGCTTATAGTGGAGGCTTTTTACGTTGCAAAGGTGCTTGGATATCATAAGGGAGGGTGAGGTGTTCTGTCACCTTTCTTTTGAAGAAACAGAATCTTTCTCTGCATGATAGAAATCAAGGTGACTCATCAGGAATGCTGCATTATGACACTGAAATTACAAAGACATGGGACAGAATGAGCAAGGGAATGCACGTGTGGGCAGGTGGCCAAGGAGTTCCTGCTCTTGGTTGTATTTCTAGCCTGTCTGATAAGGTTATTTTTATTCTCATATAAAACCAAATTTGTTGTACTGCAAATGTTCATTTCATTGAACTAAACAGGAAGGGATGAGTCAGAATTCTATTCTGATAGTTTTTGTGTCCAGCACTTTTCCAGGAAATATCATTTGGAGGATCAAAGGCTGTGTTTTGCAGACACTGAGCAGAAGCAGCCTGTATTTAGCTGTTTTAATTACACATTTTTTGTTTCATCACAGGACTTAAATGTCTTTTTTTACAGTGCTTCAGTACATAATCCTGTTAGGAAACTGCAGATTTATAATGAAGCAGGAAGTAGCAGTGTCATCATTTCAGTTGATTGTTTCCCTTGTGCTGTAGTGTATTAACTAAGTAATGCTTCACTTGGCTGTGTAGAGCCAATTGCATTCTCAAGGACATCAGGCATACCTGAAGATGAGTCATTACCTTTGCTACAGCACAAGAGGTGTGATATGCGGTCTCAGCAAGTGTTTGTCCATTGAAGTTGGTTAATAACCTATGGCCCTCTCCTGTGGCACAATGCCATAAATCAATCCTTTGTGCATTCAGCAAACAGAAAGGCGGGTGTATCAGCTGCCTCTTCAGTATCATCCCTTTATTCCCATTCCTAGAGCAAGTTGTTAATCTGCAGAGAGATTTCTCATGTTGTGGACCTCCCCTTCTGCCCCACCTCCTTGAGAGCCTTCCAGAGGCAGCAGTCACAAGGGTAGCCTTTAAAACCAGGGGAGAAACACCACAGGTCTTTATGTGAGTGACTGTAACCTCTGGTAGACTTCCTCAAGATTTTGAGAACCTATGAAATCTCAGAGCTAGCCCCTGGGAAGTCATTACCTCCTGGGGAAAATGGAGGATACTGGTCAGGAAAATTATATGAGATCATTGAATTTTACAGTGTTCACCCCGCTATCACTTCTTTTTTTTTTTTGTTGGAGGTAAATCCAACAGCTGGAAAAGCATTTTTTTGTCTATCAGGAGATGTAAAGTGGCTTTGGTGCCATTCCAATCCATATGGCAAAGGATTCCTTTTCCTTGGCTCCTGTGGCAGCCCTCAGTGCAATGCCTGATTAGTTAAGGCCATGGGCAAGAGGGAGCTACCTTGTAACAGGCAGAAGTTATTAGAGGAAGGTGTTGTCAAGCCTCCATGGGGTAACGGTGATCACTGCACACTTTTAGTTTTGATATCATGAAAGAGTTGTTCCCTTAGAGACAGCACAGTAACAACGAACTTTAAAAGGGCAGATTATAAAACTATGAGCAAAATGGTTAACAGCAGGCTGAAGGGCAAAGAGAAGTACTTAAAAAACATAGAGATCTGCCTGGAGGCTATTTAAGAACATTGTATTAGAGGCGCAGATGGTTTGTATACCTCTGAGCAAAAACATAGCGTATGAGGAAGAATGAAACTCACAGGGTTACGTGGGAGAAAAGCATGAGTGTAGAAAGGTTGAAAATGCATCCCTTAAAAGATGACAACTATCTGAATGACAGACTAGGAAACGTTATCTGGAGAGTGGAAAAGAGCTGGAAAGTGTCAGGGCGAAGAAAAGGACTATAGCAGCTGCTGACTTTGGATCTCCAGGATGAAACACACACTGAAAAGAGAGATTCTAATAATGTCCTGAGCAATTTGCTTTTGGCCTACTCAAGATAAGACTTCACCAGAAAAACAAGCATGCTCTTAATCTGAGTTAGCTAGCGCAAGACAAAATCTCAGTAAAGCCAAAGCAGTCTGCAGTTTTAATATGTGACCAGGCCAAATTTAGGCGTAAAGGAGTCCATGCAAACATAATTTCTCTGTACTAGGACTTTAATTTCATCTTGTGTTAGATTCAGTGCCAAAAATGATGTTTTTCATTTTTGTCAAAGAAGGTAGAGATAAAAAAAATAAAATTAAACACTCCTAAAAAGTAATAATTTTAGTAAAAGCAAAAAAACCTGCATTCTTCTGGTACAGCTCTGGGCTGGGAGGAAGACTATTTGATAAAGATGTAGTGAGGTTTGTAGAGGGGTTTTTTTACACCAATATGCAATTGGACAAATGCAGAATTTTGTTGTCATGTATCTGAGAACAGGAATACACTGATTACAAATTAGAAGGGAAACATCTCAAGTATCACAAATCTGATGATGTGTGCAAAAAATGTATCCTTGTGAAATCAATGAAAGCTATTTTCTGGTTTAAAACCAAGGAAAGGCATGGGAAGGTTAGAACAACTATTTTGGCAATAAAAAATTGATGCACGCAGTCTCAGTGGGACTAGAGCCCTGGCATCTAGGCTGGTTTATTCTGCCCTGTTAAATTGAAACAAACAATTCAGCTGTGTGAGTCTCTTCTCCTCTGACATGCCAACTGTCTTGAGAGAAGTGATTAAGCGTTGTTCTGATCAGTGCCACAGCATCATCAGCAGTTTTATAATTTAAGGGCTGAATAAAATTTATGGAACACTGAAAAGAGCTTAAATCAGTTTTATGATTTTTATAAATTATTGCAGGCAGACCATGTTTGTGTAGAAAGCTGGTGATGTTTGAGCTGTTTATCCAATGGACAACATTCAGAGTAGGGATTTTCCAAGTCACCTGTGGGAATTATGTGTTCAAGTTTGATGGGAGTTAGAAGACCTGTTCCTTTGAGTTACTGAGTATTCCACTATTATTTCTTAATCATGCCAGATTTTTTCAAATACTTGGTAAAAATCAAAATTAGAGGAGGATCAAATTCAGAGCAATTTCAGAATTTTATTTAACTGCTTAATGTGCTTATAAACAGTGGGTGGGTAACTTGTAGTTCTAGGGACTTGAAGAGTTAGCCCTTTTCTTACCACAGTGTATTTTTGGTTGTTGTTTAGACCCCATTATTGTGAGGAACCTAGTTGTGTCTCTGCTTGAGGCTGTACCTGCAGATTACTCCAGCTGCTACAGAGAAGGACCTGCCTGTAGAGCAGAAGGAGAAACAATATCTGGTTTCTCATCGCACATTTCAAGATCGTATAATAAGACAAATGTAATTCCATACATTACAGATATGAATAGATATTGAATTGCCCTTCTGGACAACTAACCAAGGTGGACCTGATAAGATACGGTTCCCATTTCATCCTAATTTGGGTATTATTGGTGATTGAGCAAGACTTCCACTCGCTGGCATTATACCCATCAGGATACAGGTAGGTTGGAGACCTTTGAACATATTGGAATACCTCTGAGCTATACTATTTGATGTTTATTTTTCTGTATTTTAAACTGTTCCAACTC